ATAACGTAACTTTCTTTTTTCTGATTTTTCTTGGTTGCAATATGTTCATTAATAAGGTAACCTCTGCTTGTTTTAAGATATCTTATATTTGCTCATTTTGATCTTTGGATCTTCCATGTCTGAATGCACGTAATCATCCCTTTCAAAGTTTTCACCTTTCGATTTCTCTTCCCATTTTTTCCAGTTATGGAGATTATGTTGATCGTGTCACAGCAGGTTTGACGTTTCTGCTCTTTGCTTTTTTTTTTTTAACCCTCTTTCGGAGTCTTCTTCCTTCTCGATCTCTCTCATCTCTCTGTCTCAATCTTCACTCTTATTGTGCTAAAAAAGGGGGGGGGCCTACAAAAGTATGGTAATATTGGAAACATTGGAATGTACAGGGATGAGAAGGAAGCAAACAAGGGGGGAGCGTGCCTGATACTTACATGAAATGAAATTTGTGTTATGAAGTTCTTCAGCCAATTAGGTGATTGGTGGCAGAAAAGAAGGAAGAGGAAGAGATACTCACAAGCCAACTAAATCCTTCGGAAAGATGGGCAAAATAGATGAATTAAAAATGAGTCCTAAACGTCATTTAACACATGATCATTTTGTTTTGTTTTCCTATTCATTAATTAATAATTATTTAAAATTATCAATGGTATAATAACTATTAGTTTTTCTTCCAGACAAAATAAAAGAAAGATGGTGACTACTCAGGCTTTTTAACTATTAAGGTTCAATTTTTAAAATCTTAAATCACTCAACTAAGTTCTGGTAGGAAAAAAAATCACTCAATTAAGAAATTTATTCATTTATTAAATATATTAGCTTTGCTTTCTGTTATTTTCTTGCCACTAAGGAAATGGAATCACAAGGGGTGAAAGTTTGTGTAATTATAAAGTTCTTTGAATTATTTCGTAAAATTTAAAAAAACAGAATTATTCCACTAAGTGATTTAATTTAGAATCTCTTCATTTTCATTGTTCTAAAAAGTTATTTATGGTCTGTTCATTTTTCGAAGACATTGAAGAGAATGCAAGTTGTATAATTCAAGGTCTTTTCGTTTTCATCATGCTACTAAAAAATGATTTTTGCCTGTTTTTACTTTGTAATCTCTCGTTTTACCTGTACCCTTGTAAGCTCATTTTTTAATAAATCTTTTTCATTAAAAAAATGATTTGTGCCCTCTTCATTTTTCAAGATATTAAAAAGGGTGCAAGTCTTTATAATTATATAGTTTTCTGAATTAGTCCATAAAGTGATTCAAGATATCTTCTTTTTATTATTCTAGAAAGTGATTCACAATCACTTCATCTTTCAACATAGTTTTTTTAAAGATGACTAATTTTAGATTTTAAGAATAAATATTAGTCCCTACATCCTTTTTTATTAAAAAAAAAACAACTCTGTCTCTAAATATACAAAAACGAAGAGTATATGTGAAAAAAAAAGAAGTAATGTTCTGCATGATCTAATAATGTTCCCCCAAACAACAAGTATATGTGCAAAAAAAAAAAGGACTTCAAATGAAATACACGGTATTTCATATTAACAATTATTACAGTGAAGCACTCCTCCGGTCCTTAATATAAAATTTAATTGTTGAGTTGATTTTGTTTTTAAATATAAGACCTATTTCTCATATTATTTTTCATAAATTATTCCTGTGGATACTCTCTCAACCATAATCAAATAAAAGAGAGAGAAAGGATATTAAATAAGAAAATTATGGTGTTTTAGGAAAAACATGTCATATTTCTTATACTTAACTAACATACCTAACTTCTTTAATCTAATCAAATTAGTTAAATATGTCTTATATTAAAGATTGGAGGAGTACATTTCAATATACTTTGTGAATCTTAACAATTTATTCTGATCAATAAATGATACAAATATATTTTTTAACATACATTGTAACAAACGAATTTTATTTGTGCAGACTGAACGTATAAATGAATAGTTTTTAGGGATGAAATTTTCTTTTTGGAGGGGGGACTTTCTTTCTTTGGCAAATTATTATGAAACTCAAGTCTTTGGTAGGATAAGTGCCCCTGCATTTGAAGAAATTGTGTCTAACTTCCCCCCCTAATTCCATATCAATGCTTTATTTCGTAAATTCATAAAATACTACCTCCGGTCCTAATTATAATATCAAATACATGAGGATTAATTAGTATTTCTCTCATATATTTTAATATTTTATAGTTACAAAGACTATTGAACTCTTAGAAACTAATGTGAGGCACTAATTTTGTGCGAACAAATAAAAGACTTCACAATGCCATTTTTTCAAAAAAAATATATTTTACATAGCATTCATAATCACTTACTTTTCAATTATGTTGTATTGATTAACTTATTTTGCATGAGTTTTTTCGTTAAAAGGAAGTCACAATTGGAGGCCAACAAATATTTTATATATATATATATATATAGGAGTAAACTTAGATCAAGTTAGTTAGTTTATGAAACCAATAAGAGTGTGCTACCTGTACTAATTTTTCATCCCAGCAATTACCTTCAACACACACTGTTAGTCGGTCCTGTTAAGTGTTTTTTTTTTAAAAAAAAATAAAAAACAGAACCAGAACCCAGGGCAACACTAGACTGTAGTTGGAGACAGAAGAGAGATCGGATATGGCGGCCAAGGACGGCGATAGAGGGGCTGCAATGGGATCGCTTATGGTGGGTAAGTGATATTTATGTGCAGGAGAGTAGTGAATCAACGTAATAAAAAAACACGTGTGGGAAAAAGAAAGAATTTTTATAATGGAATATATTATGGGCAATGGCAAGTTCTTTAAGCAATCAAGAAAGCAATACAAGAGAATGAGATATTTTTGTAATATTGCATTTAGAAACCAAAGAAGAGGATTAGTTTAAAGAGGAACATGCGGCTGCAATTTTTTATCTTCCTTCTGTCTCCGCCAACAATCACCCTAGGTTCTGGTTCTTTACCCCAAAAAAAAGAAGTTTAAAAACTAATTTTAATTTTATTATTATAATATCATAAATTTCTATAACTTTGCTCTGCATTAGACAATGTACAAAAACTAATGCTATGTTTGGATGGACAGAAAATAAGAGAGGAAGGAAAATTAGGGAGGAAAATGAGAAGATAAGTGGTTTTTTCTCTGTTTGGATAATGGAAGAAAAGTGAGAAGAAAGAAAAGTTAGAAAGAAAATGAGGTGGGTTCCATAACCCATTTTCCTTTCAAGTTTTCTCTCCATATATGAAGAGAAAATAAGAAGAAAACATATTTTTCTTCTTTATCCTTACATATGTTTTTTTAATAAAATAATACCTATTTTTTTATTTTTTCACTTTATTTATTATTATCAAGTCTTTCTTTTGTGTTTGCTTGATTGAAAAATAAAATAACTAAAATTGCACAAATCCTTTTAAAATGAACTGAAAGGAAAAACAAGTATAATTATTGTTATGGTTTTTTTAGTAGAACCGGGAAAATTGGCAGAGCCCGTCGGGCTGCCCTGTTTAGGCCCTGAAATTATGAGGGCTGGGCATAAAATTTTTTCTCTTAAATAGGAAACAAGCCCTGGAGGGCTGGCCCTGAAGGGCTGAGGGCCGACCCGTTTAGGCATTTTTATAATTTTTTTGTTTTTAAAATTTTTTATGTAATTCTAATATTATTAATTTTTTACATTATTAATAATATTTCAAATATTTAGTTATTATTATCATTTTAAAATTAAATTTTACAGAATGATTTGATTTATTTAGTTTTAGACAATAATTTATCCAATTAAATTTTTAAAAATGGGTTAATTTGGATTTTAATAATGATTTGATTTATATTATATGCGTTGATATTTTTAAATTATATATATTTGATAATAGAGTATTTTTATACTTATATAACTTGTGATTCTATAATTTGAATTAGAAATTCATGAGTTTCAACAACAATGTTTCTCACATTAAAGTAAAATAATAGTTAGATTGCAAAATTTAAAAGTAAAATTCCTATAAAGAAGAAAAACTTGATATTTTTGTTATGAAAGAAAAGCATACTTATGAAGAAGAGTAATTGATTATAGTGATGATGAAATTTCAAAAGATTAATGATAGTGTTTATTTATTACAAAATTGCACTATAGATAAAACTTTTGAATGTTGTTATCTTGTTAATGAATATTTTAAATGTTCTTGGATGTTGATAGATATTTATATATAATGATATTTTGTATTTGTAACTTAATGTTATTCATATTTATGTCTTTTATTAACAATTTAATTGGTTTACTCTCATTTTTTTGATAAAAAATATGAGAAATATAAAAAATAGTATTTTTTCTTAAACGGGCCAAAAGCCCGCGGGCCAGCCCTGAGCCTGTTAGTTTAAGGGCCGGGTCTAGCAAATTGGAGTATTTTTTAAATTTCGACTCTCGAGGGCCAGTCCTTTTAAACCCGTCAACCCTAGAAGGCCAGGCCGATCATGATTCCCACCTCTATTTTTTAGCATTACATTACTCAAAACGTTATTTTTTTTCCTTTTTTACAAAATTATTTGATATTAAAATGTAATAATATGATAATATATCTTTATCAAATAATTTGATTTTAAATTAGATGATTATGTTAATGTAAATATGGTTTTTCATTATAATATTTAATATTTAATTTGATTTTAATTAAGATATGTTTTGATATAACAGAAAGAGTATTTTAGTCATTCATATATTTACTTATTTTTTTTTCTTTCTGTTTTCTTTTGTCTATCCAAATGTCAGAGGTTATAATATTTTCTCTCCATTTTCTCGTCTCAACTTTTCTTTCCTCTCAACTTTTCTTTTCATTCAAAGGGAGGGTAAATGCGCCAATAAAATAAAATTAAATGATTTAATATGAGAAAAGTTCATAAATATAACAAATTAAAAATTAAAAAAAATTATAGTTACCTGAATAATGGTTTTCTCAGAAAAAAAAGAGAATAATATAGCGTTCTTGGAAGCCCAAAAAGGCAAGAACTGGGGCCGTTTGATATCCATGCTCTTCCGAGCAGAACTTGTTTGAAGAGGGAGCGAAGAAGAAGAAGGAGCCGCAAAGTAAGGGCAATGAATTTTGCAAATTCCCAGTTGTTTTGTCCTATCTTTTTATTCCTAATCATCGCCGTGTTCTCGGAAACTCTACTTCCCGCTTTAGGGCAGCAAATGTGAGCTCTACTCTTTTTGTATCAATTTCGTTCTGATTTGTATGATCTGTGTGAATTGTGATAATTGAACTTGGACCTTTTTCGTCTTGTTCTGCTTGGATTGGGCAGAGATTGGAGAAGCGAGGGATCTGAAAATGGGTTCGGGCGCAGAGTTCTAATGAGTTTCAAGGAAAAGCCCCCAGGGAGCAACGTCACATTTGAATGCTCTCCTTCTGGACCCTGCGTTCCCTGCCTCTATTCGGAGAAGGTAGCTTTTCTGTTCTTCTGAAATTGGAGATTGATCTTTTTATTCTCTGCGTGATCCCTATGAAGTGCCTTTTGCCTCGTTGTTAATTTGATCTCTATGTTATTCTAATGTGTTTCTTTGGGTTTAAAGGGTGATGAGAAATATCGCTGCAGTGAAACTGGCTACCGAATTCCATTGAAATGTATAGAAAGTGAAGATTCTGTGAAGAGTTCAAAGAAAACAGATTCTCAAAATGCTCAGTCTACTCTGGATGGTTCATCTACTTCAGGTAACGGGTTGCAGGCTTACATAACTTACAGAAGCTGTATACCTTCAACTACTGAAGACAAGCTGTCAGTCCTTGGTTTTGAGGTAATTTACATTTGTACACATAACTTCCATTTGCAGTTTTTTGTTGGCTTGGCTTGACTATCTTAGTTCATATATCAAGTTGGGTGTTATCTGTTGTTGAACTAACCATATCATCAACTAAAAGACGATCTTCTGCTGAGATCTTCCCCCCCTTTCAATTTCAAGATTGTCCACTGGCAGAACCATGCATGTGATTGTGACGTCAATGACAGTATGTACTATGAGTAATAAACATAGTCTCGAGTAGGGCTGCTGAAATTGCTCAAAGTCATCAACATTTTTAAGAGCAGTGTTTCCGGAGTATAATGTTTGAAGAAGCAAAACCAAGTGTTACTCATCGATTAAGAGCCATTGGCATGTCTAATGGACTGTTTAGAATAGTTTATAAGTAGCTTTTTAATTATGATTTATAGAGTATGAGATAAGTATGTGAAAAGAATTTTGTCTCGACTTATATAAAACGTGTTTATAAGTATTTTTCATCGTTATCCCAAATGGACCCTAAGATATTGGATCCTCCAAGAGTAAGAACATTTCTTGTGCTGTACCTTCATATTTAGTCCGAGTTCCATTTCAAGAGGCATCCATCTGATGCCTCTTGAAGTGGGATGATAAGTGATAACACTATAAAACAGAGTGAGTCCTTGTTCACCCATCTACTGTTTACCTTCTGCTTTAAATTGCTTTTACTCTGCTAGCACTAGAACTAGGCCACAGACCACAGTGACACATCAGTTATTATTAGCTATGGTTCCTGCGTGTTTCGCTGTCAGCGAACCTTTGCGATTGTATTATTGGGCATCAAGTTTTATCCTCCACACTCCACAAGTGTTAGAGGAATGTCCATGTCGAAGAAGATTAATTTACAATTTGGTTGAAACTTGAGAGCAACTTAATTTGGCATGCTCATATCTATGTATGGATACACAGCTTGAGATGTGTGCAGCTTGTTGTCTTTAATTCTTCACTCGCTGGTCCTTACATAATCCGTTAAGTAATACAACTCCCGATCATTAATATAAGAGCTAGTTGACTAATTTGAATAGATTAATGAAACTAGTTAAATTAGTTATTTGTAATAAATAGGTGTTGTTTTTCCTAAAGTATCCTTGCTAATCAAGTGTATTGGTTAGAACTACTATTATTATAAGGATGAGCTTAGGAAATGAATAAATATGAGAGACAAAACAGATTAGGGTTTTATATTTATGACGAAAATAAAAGTCAAACAAGTTTTTATATTATGGATCAGACGTAGTAGTATTTTAAAAGATTTGTCATGTTGCTCGTCATCCTTATCAGTCTGGGAAGTTTTCTGTGCTCATCAAACTGCTAACTACTGATGTTGATGATTGATGTTAATTGACAACCACTACCTTATGCTGACATCATTGCCTGCAAGTCTCTGATTTGTTGTTTTAATCAATTACTGTATATTCTGTAAGCATCACTGTCATAATGAACATTCTAGTATTGCAGTGTGTCATGAAAGCAAGCACTCAAACTTTCATTCTTCTGCTGAAATTTTTAAATTCTATCAGAGAAAACTTATGTATGATTGGAAGGTATAAGAAGACTTGTCCCAATTTGAAGGCTATGGGCCTCTCCTTTTTCTACCTATTTTCATTTTGTTTTTGGCCCAAATAGATGTTGAGGAGGATATGTAATTATGAATTATATATCTGGTACTCTGCGTTTTAACTGTTAAACTACAGATGAGAATAAGTATTGACGTGAATTTTGTGAAACACTGGACAGGGGATTGTGATTTTGTTGCTGCTCATCAGTGGATCAATCATATATCGGAGAAAAAGGAAATCAGTTTCAGTGTCAGGTTATGCGGCAGTAAGATCATGAGACAAACTCTCTGTTAACAAACAAGTCTCTTGTAATTGTAAGATGAGATCTATACTCCAAACATAGTTTATTTTGGTTTAATGTCAAGTTTCAAAACAGTTTTTTTTCTTCTTCCATATTATCTGGTTTTTGCCCCTTTTATTGTTAACACCACTAACTATTCTATTGACTCACACAGGACACAGCTATATAATTCTTTTGTGTATTGTACAAGTTAGATTGGTTTCTCTGTATTCTCTGTAGTTGTCTCAATGTTATGCACTTTTTGGTCAGAAGGCATTTTCAAATTTAAAGTATGGCATGGTTTTGTAGATTTTGAGTAATTTGTTCTGTGTTTCGCTTAGACGCCTCAATTGACTATGTTCCCATTCTGGGTTATATTGTTTCGTCTTGTTTCCCCTATTTTTGGGCTAATTATTCTGGGTTCTATTGAAAGTGCATTCAAATCAGTAAACAAAGCATTGCACAATGGATTAATACATACATAAAACAAAAACTTAATGAATTAACGTCGATCCAAATATAGTATGGCATACAAAATACATTTGGTCTAAGTTGGAAGAATTCAATATTAGGGCGTGCCTGATTTTGCCACCCATTTTTAATTTTTAAAAACACTTTTATATATAAATTTTCAAACGTTGTTTTTCAAGCTAAAACGAGAAAAATCTGTTCGATAATTTGGCCATATTAATTTGAAACCAGTTTTTCAGTCAAACAAATTATTTAAACAATCATTCTGAAAAAAAAGTCTTTCGCCAATCACCACCGACAATCACTGTTGTTGGCCACCTCCAGGCAGCAGCTGTTGACCAATGTGGGGGACACTGGCCAACGACGTTTGTTGACAATGGTTGGTGGCTGGGATTGGGATGGTGCCTATAACATGAATGTAACAGTTTAAGATTGAGAAGATCAGCCCACATGAGAGAATGTAAATAACAGTTTTGGATTGAGAAAATCATTCCTAATCTTTGTACCGTTATCGAAGTCCCCAAAGGGTCATTTAAAAAATATCTGTATGCTGCAAAAACGTCACGCGCACACACAAGCACATTTAAACATGACACCAACTATGAAGCCGCAGCACAAGGCCCCAAGTAATGCATAACCATAGGGTACATACCGAGCATACACAACTTATCCTGAGGTCGAATATACAAGGCAGGGAAATGTGAATGATGGCTCTCTTCTCTTGACCCTTTTCTTCATCATCTCTGTCCATCTGGCAAAGACATTGGAAACTTCAAGTTTACCAGAAAATTTCATCCTTTGAGCTAACTCCTCAAGTATCTCAGGCTTCCCTGCTCTAGAGAAATCAGCAGTAAACTTGTTATGATCAAGCTCTGATGCCTCCATTCTCTTCTCTATCATTTCCTCTGAGAATTTGCATGCCTCTTCTGACCTTCCTTGTCTAATAAGCCCTCCAATTAATAATGTGTATGAATTGTCATCAGGACAGAAACCATTCTGACGCATCTCATCCCAAGGTGCATAACCCATTTCATAATTTTTCGTCACGTAAAAGTACTTCACTATCATGTTGTAACTTGGAAGTGTGAATTGTTGGTTCAATACCTGTTTGAATCATCTTCTGGTATATTCTAATCGCATCATTGGACATATGTTGACTTGTCTTCAACTTTATTAATGCATTGTAGGTCCTCCCATCTGGTGCCCAACCCTTCTCCCTCATTTCCTGTAGTAGATTGTATACCACATCCATTTTCTCCTGGTTTCCAAGCCCAGTGATCAAACACGCGCAGATGGCAACATCTGATTGACGCCCTCAATCGATCATTTGATGAAAATACTCAATTGCTTCTCGCATCATTTTTTGTTTGCACAGATCTCGTATTACAATTGTGTAACTCCGAACATTGGGAAATGGACCTTTATCTTTGATGACTTCAAATAATTTGATTGCATCAGACTTCTTCTTGACCCCCAAGTGTAACATTATGTGCAACAGCATCTGGCTTAAATCCCCTATCAATCATCTCATTCCGTACCTTCCCTGCCTCCATCAAGCCTTTAACCCTGCACCAACCATGGCTGTTTGGCATAGCTTATAAGTAGCTTTTTAATCGTGATTTACGGAATACGAGTTAAATATGTTAGAGGAGTTTTGCCTCAGCTTACGTGAAACGTGTTTGCAAGTGATTTTAATCGTGATAATAAACAGGGACTAAGAAACACCGTATATGTCTGGAAATTGAGTGTAAATCTTTCAATTTTTCAAATATGGCCTGGGCTTCTTTACCAAGTTTTGCCCTTCCAAGAGTACCTTTATTTCAACACCCACTTTAATTTGGTACCTTTTCATCAGATCAAAGATCCCAACAGCTTTTTTTCCTCTCCTTTGCAGTAGCAAAGGCTTTGATAGCAATGAAAGTTTCCATTGTTAAAAGGCCTTTCTCCCCCATTTCCTCAAGCATAGCCATGATGGTTTCAAACTATCTAGTCTTCCTCAAGCATAGTCATGGAATTATGGGCAAAACCTGGCCTTTGACCTGCCCAGCAAAAGAACCAATATGCTGGTGATTTAGCCTGCATACCTTATCAACTTCATCTGGGTCAACACCGGATTTAGCTTTATGATTTCTGCCAACATCACAATGTCGATCACTATCATCATCCTTATTTCCAGATTCAACCTCCGATTCCTCATCTTTGTCAGCGCTAGCAACACTTGCAAATGCTCCGGAATTATCAGAATTAGAATAAAACATACGAGACGGGCAGAGAACTACCACAAAGAGAGCACACTTGCTCTCCTTCACGCAATCTTTGCCATCCATTCGGTCGTCCCTGATGGAGAGCTTGAAGCTCTGGGGAGGAGAAGGCACTGAAGGGGCCATGTGGTATGGATTAGGGGTGTTCAAGTGTGTCCCGTCCCGGTCATAGTCATTTTAGAACGGGACAATCCTGTCCATAAAACTTTTGAGACAGGACGAAAGCGGGGCGGGACAAAATTATTTCGGGACGGGACGTGGGATGGATGTGTCCCGTCCCAATATATTGTTTTTGTTTTTAGTTGTTATATATTTATTTTATTTATCACTGTGATAGTATTTTGGTAATGATATTTATCAATTGTTATTTTCTATTTATTTATAAGTTGTTTTTGTATGGGTTACATAATATTCTGTAGTGTATATTTTAGGTTTGTTTATTTTTTGTCTCTTATAATTACAAAAAATATTTTTCTTTGTCATTGTTATATATTTCTCTTACATAGTTTTTATTATAAGTTTTTACATTTCTTGTATTGTTAGTTTTGAAATTAAAAAAAAGAGATGGGACATCCCTGTCGCGTCCCAATTATGTTGGGACGGGATGGGACACCAGACAAAAGAGCCGTCCTGTCCCAGTTATCGGGACGGGACTGGGACAGGGATAACCCCGTCCCAGTCCCAGTCCCGTGAACACTCCTAGTATGGATTGGTGGAGTGGGAGATTTGGGTAATTACAGATCAGTGTTAAAAATCTGACTTTAGAGGTGATGAAATGGGTTGGCCTACCGGTTATGGGCCAGCTCACTACGGGTTTAAGACCATGTGGGTTGGTCTTAAAAAGACAGCTTCTTGGGCTCATATTTTGCTAGCCTACACCGCCAAGGGGTGGTTTGGGGGGTTGGGGCGAAAGCCTCCATCTTTTTAAAATTTGTTTTTCATATATATATATATAACTTTTCAAATTAAATTATAAATTTTTATAGGCCTAATTCTTCTTGTTCTTATATTTTCATGTAATTATATAATTAAATTAATATCAAAAGTTAAAATATAAATATATAATTCATTGTTAATAATAATTTTATTAGTATAAAAATGGTAAAACAATTAAAAAAGAGAAATCAAATTTAAAATCAAAATCTCTAATAAAATATAAAGTTATATATAAATTAAATAAAATGATAAAACTTTTTTTTTTATTAAAATAAATAAAAATTGTAAAAAAAAAAAAAAGTGTCGGGCTAGCTCATGACGGGCTATAAGTTGGCAAGTACTTGCTAAAAAGAATTGTGTCAAAATGATGCCTGTTATTTGCGGGCTGTACGCCCGCATACTAACGGCTCTATTTACAGTGAAGGAAGCAAAGAGATTTGTATAAGAGGTTCTTGGAGACAAAAATGGCACCTTACAGGAGGATGGTGAAGCGGCTGTTGAGTGGTAACGAAAAGCTTCAATTTAAAAACCGAAACTAAATCGAATGGAATACAAAAACCGAACCAAATGAAAAGAAATATTACGGTCCCGCATGTTAGGTTGAAGAAGCAAGATAGGAATGAAGGCAAGAGGCTGAGACTGTGGTGACCGGGTGGTCGATGACTCAAGGCTCGAGTGCGAACTGAGGAGTGAGGAGGCCGGAGAGAGCAGACTGGGGTGGCCAAGAGAGATGGAGTTTGTGGCTGTGGACCTGTGGTTCTGCTTCGACTTGGACGACGGATGACCCTGAGGGAGTGACCACGGCGACGGCGAATTTGTGGCTGTGATTTCGCTTCGGCTTCGACGGCGGATGCGGTCGAGGAGTGAGAGCGGGAGACACAGACGGCGGCGGTTGACAATGAGTCAAAGTCAAAATTTGGAGGGTAGTCTTGTCCAAAACTTAAAAATAAACAGGGGTATATGTTTTTCTCTGCATTATCAATCCCAAAGCTTTAAAAAAAATACCGAGTCCGGGTGGGAGGTGGGCTTGTCCAATCCCTACTCTCTAAGCCCAGGTTATTATCAATCTCAATTCAGATTTAGTATCTGACAGTGACTCAAAGAGAATTGCCTTCAATAAAAAGATATATCTATTTAGCAGAAAAAAAAATTGACTCAATCCCCAACCTTTTGTATCAAACAAGCCTAAGAACATTTTGGTCACTGGTTGGCTATAACATTGCGCACACACTATATTTATTATTACATTATCTATTAAATAGAAATAGTTATATATGCATTTAGATTTTAATCGAAGGTTTTTTTTCCATGAGGTGGTGAGTCTCCGACAATACAAAAATCGAATAAAGTTGAGTTTATTATTAGCATCAATCTAGTGCCCTGCTTTGTACACAAGACTAGGTTTGGTCTAGTGCTAAATAAATTTTTAAAAAATAAAAAATTTTCTTAAAAAATAATATTATAATAATAGTATCATACTTTGCAATCTTCTGTTTGTTCTCCTCCCTAATATTTTTTTCTGGTCTTTCCTGCTCTCTCGATCTTTATCCTGTTGATTCTTCTCTTGCTAACGCTGCTTCCTTAGGCCCATCCCAAGCATTTGAATTGTTGCTGGAACCATTTCTAATTTGCTCATCAAT